CCTTTGGTCCTGACTTATCTAAGTTCCTAGATACCTAAAATTAGTCACTTCTTCTAATTTTTCGTCTTCTGTCTTTATATTCGCTCTTTCCCTACTTTTTCTTTCCTTGCATACCAGTATTTTTATTTTACTTTACTATTTATTTTTATACAGTACTGTTTTGTCAATACCGCTTCTATTTTATTTAAAGCTATCTCTAACTCCTCCTTGCTAGATGCTAATACTGCTATATCATCTTCAACTCTAAGCATAGTAATATTTTGCCCCTGTATATCTATCCCTACAGTTGTACTGTCTTTAATGATGTTAATTATACCTACCAGAAATACGTTCCTAACATGAATGACTAAGGAAAGCGTGTTGAGTATTCCTTAAAAGTTAATCCGTTAATTGTAAGGAATATACTATTTAACAGGTAAGGCCTAAATGACTAATAGTAAAACATAAGAGCTCTTCAATTGACATTAATCTATAGAACTTTCAACTCGACGGTTTTTATCACGTTCACGATCTTAAACCTAATTAAGTTCAAATCATTAACTAATATGCTGGCAGTTCTTGCACGTCATGCTCTTTTTCACTTTTGTTGGCCAGGAGTGACTCCTTTTTTTGTTTTCGAACGAAACCGCAACGCTGAATTGAATTTTACAGCAGTTTTTAGATACCATGTTACCAACACTTCACAATTTCTTATGTCCATAAGCTAATAATGATAAAGTGAAATAAAAAATATACCTTTCATTAATTGGTAGTTTTATGAAGCTCTCATATCACAATTAGCATAAATACATTAGTTCCATTCAACATAATTAATTTAAATGTGTCGCCTAAATAATTTTTTTTTCATAGTAATTTATTTTTGATCTTTGATGAAGCAACAAAAGTTTTTGGCAATTCTGGATCTCACACGAATCTTGTAATTGATGGATTTTATTGCTTCTCGATATATTGACTGGGTTTTATTCCATTTTTATTATGTTCTATATTTCTACAGCCCCTATAAAATACCATTTTCTAACGGAAAGCAGTTACTGTCATTCTCTTCTGTATTAGTTGGAATTCCTAACGTTTTCTCGGACTTTTAGGTAATACTTCTTAAATAAGACAGTCTTTCGTTCTAAGAAAAAATTTATATTTTAAATATATTACATTTTAATGAACTATTTTGACTTTAAATACGTTCGTATTCAGTTCGATATTTTTATATTGCTTATCGCTGTGTCTGTTTATATTTCTGTAATACTGAATGGCCTAAGTCAGTATTTCAGATCAGTGAATTAATAATCAACATATATTTTGTCTCTTAAAACACCTTTATTCCGTAGATCGTATATGAAACGCCGTCGGATTGTTAGTGTTTTCGTTTAGTTAAGGATGTTTTAGTCTTTGAAATCTATTGAAATATTTATTGAAATAAGTTATTAATGTTCTTGTTCTTGTTTTTTGATATGTAAAAGGAACTGTAATAATTGTACATTTCTTTTGTGTATTTCCTCAATAAAAGCTTATGTGAAAGATTGCGGCTTCCTCTGTCTACTTTTAATTTCTATTTTTCTATTCCTTCATTAGAATAGCTACAAAATTTGAATCCTTCATTGTCGAGACTGAGAAGAAATCACTACATTTGGATATGAAAAATTTTGTTGTTTGGTTCTAAGTTTTAACTTTTGTTATATGGCGGGTATTGAAACCAGATAAAGTGATGATTGTAGAAGAAATGGAAGACAAAAAAAAGGAAGTTAGTTGACATTTCTTTCCATGGTTTAAGTAAAAAGACTTGATGTTTGCCAAAATACTGTTTTTCCTTCGAAAGAAAAAGAAATCATCAATTAAAAAGAAAACGTTAAACAATCCTTTTTTAATAAAAACTATATCAGCTTTTCTTAAACTTTTTGATAGATGGAACCCTTTTTGATGTTCAGTTCATTCGTGAAACCCTTGGTTTGCTTCAATAACATGGTTTTAATGCGACGTTCCTTAAATCATATCATTTAAAAAATATAAATAAAAAGTGTCAAACAAATCTTTGAGGTACTGGACAATTTATTCAGTACTTGTTCCTTCTATTTTAAAACTTTCTTCTTTTGAAGAGCTCTTTATATATACCGGAAATAATCAAATTGTTAGAGCCCACATAACATTTCCCAAAATTCAGTCCATTAATAAAACCTAGAATCTTTTCGTGGTCAGCAAATATATTTAAATGCATGCCTTTGCCAAGACTTTATTATTATTGTATGATGTTATAGAAATACGTACACTGCATATAGGTAAGTGAAAGCGACGGTTAAGTGGGACTCCATTTTTTAATTTCTTGGGGAGTTAATATTTTCATTGTTGTGCCTTGAAAGGAATTAGAAAACAACACATGGGTTCTATGGAACCCTTCATTGATCTACACAGAGGCACCAGGTTTGCCGAACACAGTTATACATGATTAGAAAGCTCAAAACCTCCACGCTAACAAAGCACGACACTGAACGTCCGAAGAACTTTACGGTGACATAGTTACCTTCTTCAGTCCCTGACTTTATTACCGTAAACTACTTTGGACGTTTAGGGTTGCGCTTTGACATTGGAGCTTTGAGCTTTTTAGTGTTCTATAATACCGCAAAAGTTTTCTAATTTTCTAAAAACGCTGTATTTATTAGACAAATCATTAACATGAGTGATAAGTAATAAATATTATATAAAAAAGATATACTTTCTATACTGAAACAAAACTAATGAATTCTACCTTTTTCTCAAAGTTGTAGTTAGTACATTAAATATTATATACCTGCGCTCATTCTCAGCTAAATTGTTATGAAGTTTACATAATTAATAGCAATAAACTTCTACAGTTTCCAATTTAAAATCCTAAAATGTTAGATAATATGATCAGTATAACAAATTGATTAATTTATTCAGTAACTTGTCATTAATTTCACTAGCAGGCTTTTGTAAAGTGAATCTCACATTGAGACACCCTGTGCAGAAGTTCGTGTACCTAATATATAATAAACGTAAAACCTCCTGTAGTCGTTACTGCACTTACCACTGTCTGTAATTATTTCTAAAACGACATGCTACTGTGTTATTTATGAAGTAAAAGTACTCATTGGTTGTAGGCAAGCGAATAAAAGAAATTACCACAAGAATTAAGCGACGTATTAGGTTGCCCAGAAGGCAATTTGTTAATGGTTCACTGTTTGCATGAGGTGTTTAATTGCATACCTATTCGAAGTACCTGCAATTTCTTTTCAGACGTGCACTTAATTAAAAATTATGCCAGGTAGGTACGTATACTTTTCATAAAAATCTAAGTGGCTGAATGAGTCTAATTAACATCAACAATAAAGGCGTGTGAATGGTTGAGGGGGTAAAGTAGCTTGTCACTTATATTTATGCCTATTTGTAACAAAAGGGTAGGTACTTTTCAAAGTTTATCAATTACCTAATCGTGCACTTGCATTTACCATTATTCTTCCAGCGTAATTACATATGTGAGATTCTATATTGTTCATGTACAAATTCAAGCCATTTTACAAGAAAGAAAAATGTGACTTCTGTGGATATTTCATTAAAAGTTATAACACTACTCGAGATAACAAATGATGCGTATTGAATGACGCCGTCAATAATAAATATCTGTAAGCTTCATGTAGCTGTGACAGAAGATGTTATTATTCAAAGCATATTATAGAGTAGTTAATTTGACATGGTTAATACGCGTAGCGGGTGAAAAAGTGCAAGTTCTATTTCTGATCAAACAAATGTAACAGTTGACCATTCTTATTGCAATTTCTGATGTCTTTGAAAGCTCATTCCTGGTAGTACGCACGTGGAAACCGTGGAAACTGTGTGTTTCCAAAATTAATTAGGTACATTTATAAAAAATGAAAACAGAGGTCACCGTTTGAAAGTCAATTAAAACTAGACGAGGCATTGATTGGTAGCACACCTTCTCTGGCATGAAGGGCTGTTGGAGGCACAGTAGAAGCAGAAATTGGATTTAAAAAGAAGTAGAGGTAGATGATCTATTTTAGATTACTGTTCGTAAAAACAAGTTGGAGATATAAATAGGCTGCTCTAATTTTTGAGAAATGGAAAGATTTTGACTCAAGATAGGAAGAAGTGGAAGGCTGAATACCTTATGATGATGATAGATTTTCACATATTTTGAGCTTTCATCACGCCGTTACCCATCACACATAGTTGAAAATTCTCAAGAATTGTGAACTAGAAGTTCATCCTTGTACTTTTTAGTCATGTAAAGAGTGGCACCGTGATTTTTTTTTAAGTTTTTGAGTTTTTTCCAACATGTAGACACATGCAGCTTACATTTGTTATAGACGACTAGGTATATTTTACTCACGGTGTTTTTCGAAATGCTGGTCCTCAAAAACTCGAACATTTTCATGCAAAAATACGTACATTTATTCTTACGGCGGTTACATTAGTGGCACACTTCTGATTCGTGTGATCCTGATGCACTTCAGATTCTCTAACGATTTGAGCTTCTCATCTAAGAAACATTGCACTACCTATAGCAAGATTTTTTTTTATTAGAAACGGTTAGTGGCAAGTTCGTGTTATTTTTAAACGGTTGATTGTAAATGGGTCATAAAAGGTTTGAGTTGTTTTTCAGTTGGTTCGAATTTACGTAGTACATGGGTGGGCAGGTAATGAAGTAATAAGTATGCGGAGGTTCGCATAGTTTTCGAAAGATGTGAATGAATTCGGCGTTGATTCACGAAATTCTTCGAGATGTTCTCTAGCGATCTCCAGGAATTCCGGAAAAGTTCCCTCCGAAATGTTCGTACCGGTGGGAAAGCGATGCGGTCGCAGCTTTAGAGTTAGTTCGAGCAATGGCGGGTCGACGTCTCAAACGAGCGGTCATAAAGGCGGATTCGCTTCTTGTCATTGGTTGAGCAATCTTCCGAAGGCGTTTCGATTTCCACGTGTACAGGACCACACGTGCAGGTAAGTCCTGGTCTCAGTGCGACGAAAGCGCCAGCTGTGGGTGGTCAGGACTCGAATCCAGACTCCTCCTTAGGCTAAAGCTCGGGCTAATTCGGACAAAGCCGACCAACCACCCCTACTCCACCCTCGGTTTTGAGTAAATAAGCTTCCAGGTGGATTTGTTTATTTTTTGCGTTGGTGCAGTGAATTCGTGTGCGGGTGGATGGACATGGAGTTTTCGGTGGTGCTGGTGGTGAGTCTTTTTGTGGCTATCGGATCCACTAACGAAGTTGTCATCCGGAAAGGACGAGGAAAAGGATCCATGTGGTGGTAGGTACTGGAAAATTTTTCACTAGCGCTTCGATCGTCGATTTGATCCTTTAAAAAANTTTTTTTTTTGGTCTTCTTTTTAAGAACTTGTGAACAGGCCAAACGTCCATGCCTCTCACAGTTATGTAAGCAAACTTTATGGTTTCTAAAAAATTAGTTTCGTCCATATGTAGGAAACGTGACGAATGTGAGGAAATTTGCACCTTTTTTACTACCTTTGTAGTCACTTATACTTACTCTTCTAATACTCGACTCCATGTTTCATTATTATTATTATTCCGTGATAACTTCTAATTACTTCTCAACACACATGAGGTCATTTTGTAATAAAAATTGAACGTCCAGCTATTCATTGACAGCCCACTTTATTTACCTAATTTTTTTAGTTATTGACGAGCAAATAACATATATCTTAGCTAAGTATCAGGAAACAGCAATATGTTTTTCACTTCATCTTATTTTTCTAGCAGTCCGATAATATTTATAACAGATAACATTGATTAATGACATTGCGCATAATATATAAATACCGCTCAGCTATTAAACCGAGGAAATGATTTATTGAAAGGAATTGTGAACATTCCGTCCACGAATAAGGTATTTAATTAATTAATCAGTAATCCACGTACATTAATTTCTACATTTTAAATTTATACTTTTGGTCTTTTGAACACCAAATTCATTTCAGATTTGCCGAGCACCTCCACCAACTATCAAAATCCAAATTAATATGTTATTACTTTGTTACATATGTACAATTAAAGTCATTATCAAGTCAAATATTTCATCCTGATTCTCTTGCACTAGTAGTTCCTTATACTGTCCAATCTCTTAATTAGTTTCCTGCGAATAAATTGAATTTCGAGTGACATTCTTCTTACTGCTATTGGAGAATTCAATGCTGGCATGGAAGACTAAAGTACAATTCTTACGTGACCTCTGTTTTTGTAGACCTGTTAGATTAAATGTTTTGAAGAAAACGTTGTGTTACATGTCTTCTTTGGTTGTTAAATAGTTCCATTGTGTTTGTAATATTAAAATCGATTATTTATACCTTTTCATACGTTCCTATAACTTACGTTTTTCACATTAAAAATTGAAAATCTAAGTGATATGTGTAACGTGAAAATTTTATCGACCTCTTATAATGCCGTTTTTTTAATCAGGTTTTACGGTTGTATTGTTAAGTTTCACATTAAAAATTGAAAATCTAAGTGATATGTGTAACGTGAAAATTTTATCGACCTCTTATAATGCCGTTTTTGATAATCAGGTTTTAGGGATGTATTCCTAAGTATTTGATAAAAATTACTAATCAGAGTTCTCGTTACTAGTGGAATTCGTTATTATGACTCCGCCTATATTGATCAACCGCTTAATATTAAGTAATTGCAGTGTTAAGTTTGGTTTTCATATTCTATAGGAAAGTTTGGATATAACAACTCCGTTTAAAATGACATACCATTTATTATGACTGATTCTCAAGAAATCATATCCGGCTGTAGTGACCCAAATGATTAATAATAACATTTTCGCTCATTTTTCTAACCCTTCTTATGTATATTGATATTATTATATACAATTCATCGTTCTTTTTCATTTTCTGTTAATAAATATATACAATTTGTAGTTTTTCTCTCTGTTAAACTAAATAACTAACCAAAATAGAAAGTTGTTTATTTTCTAAGACTATGCTTTGTTTGACGTGTTTCCCTTCGATGCCATTATAAGTGGATTCTACTGTATGTATGTATAAAGAAAATTGAATNTACAATTTGTAGTTTTTCTCTCTATTACACTAAATAACTAACCAAAATAGAAAGTTGTTTATTTTCTAAGACTATGCTTTGTATGACGCCCACTTAATATGACGTATTTGTCATTTCCTTTCGATGTCTTTATAAGCAGATTCTACTGTATATGAAAAAGCTCTACTTAAAGAATGAACTAGACGATTAATCAATTAGTAGAAGGTACTAGCGACGACAAATGTTATGAGTATTAATTAAGGAATATTAAGCCAAAGGGTGTGTGCTTATAATAAACAGAGAGGAAGAAATTTATTGGTTTTTCCTTGGAAAAATCTGTCAGATCGGGAACCATCAAAACACTTTTATAGCAGAAATAAGTTGCTCCTTATATTTCGTTTGTAAAGCTGATTATTATTAGTTGTTGTTAAAGTGTTTAATAATTACAAATCGATTTTCAATACGGGTTGGGACTTTTTTATTCGAATATTACTTGAATGATTTTCCCACAGCGACATAAGCAGTCAAGACAGCTCTCTTTGCATTTACTGGTCATCTACGGTTAATATTTTACTATTATTAGGCTTTTTATAAAGAATGCACAACTATTTGGGGTTATTTATCATTAGTAATCTGTTTTTAAATTTTTATATGGATGTTTCGTGTAGCTTTAAAGTATCTGTTCTAACTTCGTACAATTACTTTGCTTTCGTGAAATAATCTTTGAGGACACTCCGTGTACACGCCTATTTGAACCTAATACATAAATAACAATTATCAACAGTTAACTACCGAAGTAATTGAATCAACTTCACAACCGTAGATACTAAATTAAGATAAATTGACTGATCAGTTGACTTTCAATTTCCATTTTACATATGCATATATGTGCAGTTGTATCTGTAAGTGAAGTAATACGTAACTATTAGGTAGAAGAATCGTATTAGAATTCTTCGGTTCACGACTTCTTGAATTTGTAATTAATCTTTCGGAAGACATCGATATTTCATTCAACACACCCTGGGAAAATTTAGTAGAGTTCAATGTTGTAGACGTTTTTTCTTTGTTTCTTTTTTTTTCCTAGGTCCGTAGTCGATGTTTTAATTAATGTGACATTTAAGGCTTACTGCGATTAACCGACCATATAAGGTCGTTAATTATAAAGGAGCATCGGCTAGGTGCGCTTTCAAAAGACGAGATGTTGCTAATTAGTGGTATAATGGCTAATTAGTAATCTACTAACCTACATTCATCAATAAAACGACTTTTTATAGAGCGGTTTAGAGCGGACATTAATTCCCTCTTTTTTTTTTGGTCTTCTTTTTAAGAACTTGTGAACAGGCCAAACGTCCATGCCTCTCACAGTTATGTAAGCAAACTTTATGGTTTCTAAAAAATTAGTTTCGTCCATATGTAGGAAACGTGACGAATGTGAGGAAATTTGCACCTTTTTTACTACCTTTGTAGTCACTTATACTTACCCTTCTAATACTCGACTCCATGTTTCATTATTATTATTATTCCGTGATAACTTCTAATTACTTCTCAACACACATGAGGTCATTTTGTAATAAAAATTGAACGTCCAGCTATTCATTGACAGCCCACTTTATTTACCTAATTTTTTTAGTTATTGACGAGCAAATAACATATATATTAGCTAAGTATCAGGAAACAGCAATATGTTTTTCACTTCATCTTATTTTTCTAGCAGTCCGATAATATTTATAACAGATAACATTTATCTACAAGTTTCTACAGACAGCAAATATGATATTATGTAGTATATATTTAGTACTAATAGACAATAACTATATATATGAACNTATATTGATTAATCGTTTTATGTATAGTAGTTTGCACTGAAATAAAGCTACATTTGTCCCTAATTTTTGAAGGAGAAGGGGGCTTATTGAGATGAAAGCGAAATATTTATAATGCAACTAAAGTACATTATCCTTTATATTGATTAATCGTTTTATGTATAGTAGTTTGCACTGAAATAAAGCTACATTTGTCCCTAATTTTTGAAGGAGAAGGGGGCTTATTGAGATGAAAGCGAAATATTTATAATGCAACTAAAGTACATTATCCTTTATATTGATTAATCGTTTTATGTATAGTAGTTTGCACTGAAATAAAGCTACATTTGTCCCTAATTTTTGAAGGAGAAGGGGGCTTATTGAGATGAAAGCGAAATATTTATAATGCAACTAAAGTACATTATCCTTTATATTGATTAATCGTTTTATGTATAGTAGTTTGCACTGAAATAAAGCTACATTTGTCCCTAATTTTTGAAGGAGAAGGGGGCTTATTGAGATGAAAGCGAAATATTTATAATGCAACTAAAGTACATTATCCTTTATATTGATTAATCGTTTTATGTATAGTAGTTTGCACTGAAATAAAGCTACATTTGTCCCTAATTTTTGAAGGAGAAGGGGGCTTATTGAGATGAAAGCGAAATATTTATAATGCAACTAAAGTACATTATCCTTTATATTGATTAATCGTTTTATGTATAGTAGTTTGCACTGAAATAAAGCTACATTTGTCCCTAATTTTTGAAGGAGAAGGGGGCTTATTGAGATGAAAGCGAAATATTTATAATGCAACTAAAGTACATTATCCTTTATATTGATTAATCGTTTTATGTATAGTAGTTTGCACTGAAATAAAGCTACATTTGTCCCTAATTTTTGAAGGAGAAGGGGGCTTATTGAGATGAAAGCGAAATATTTATAATGCAACTAAAGTACATTATCCTTTATATTGATTAATCGTTTTATGTATAGTAGTTTGCACTGAAATAAAGCTACATTTGTCCCTAATTTTTGAAGGAGAAGGGGGCTTATTGAGATGAAAGCGAAATATTTATAATGCAACTAAAGTACATAATTAAAAAAAAATGTACTTATTATGTAAATAATAATGTTCCACATAAATTCGACCAAAGCTACGATTAATTGTATTCTTTAAACATGATTTCAAATCTCATCAACGGTGGCCCCTACAAATATGAAAAGAATGAAACACTTATCTAAAGCTTAATGAAACTTATTGCAGCTTTCCTTTAAACAGATGATAAAAATTGTCGTTGCATTGCTAACGTACGGCTCCGTATATACCGTATTCCAGATATATATATATAGGTATGTATCTAACATGAATATGCTTCCTTCCTCATTACTTTCGTAACAAATTATGCAACATTATGCATAACTTTGAATACTATTATGTTAGGTGCATCTAT